TTTTTTTGTGACAAAACTTCCAATAAAGCTCCAAAAAGAAAACAAAAGTTCTAATATCATAAATATTCTGGAAGCATCTAGAGACAAACAAACCAGCTAATCAAACAGGCCTAAATAGTCTATTTATTAAAAATTTGAAAGAAAAAAACAGCAGTGCGCAACTAACGCAACAAAAGGCTTATTTATCATTTGCACCTACACGTCCATCCACTGCTATAGAGATAAATCCAAGGGCAGCCCTGTTGAGTGTGCTTAATAGCCAAACGAATGCGGCTTCCCTTCTGATATACTAATGAGGTGTAGTCTAGGCTCCAGCAGGCCAGTGTGCGGTGATTCCCAGCCCGATGTAAACTATCACACACAGGCCGCGGCGCTGTCTGAGACACAATATAGTAATTTAGAGTGCATCATAACGAGCAAATTCCGCAGTTTAAAGCCCACCCTGCCGTCTGTACAGCAATACACAGAGGTACCGATAGCCCCTCGGCCTGTTGTTGCCATATGTCACATCATCCACAGCAGAATTCCGTTAGGCAATCAAGAACCGCAATCCTGTTACAAATATAGCCTATATTGGAATCTGAATCACGTCCATTGCAAACACCAGAAGCTGAGAGACGATCAATTCATTAAGCGGTGCTTATTTCAGTGCATGCACTTAATCGTGGAGCAGAAACAAACAAATGTGACTGAGAAAATGATATCGGTGCTAATCACATCAGGGCGGATGAGCGAGCGATCGCGTTCAAATAAATCTTACCTGTAATGTCGCCACCAAGAGGGATCTCCTACCCTTAAAACACCCCCGGCGGGCTTGTCATGTGAACGCAAACAGCTGATAAATGAAGAAAATCTGATGGCATGGCATCCACCTCTGAGACGGAATGGAGGAGATGGGAGAGGAGTCGGGCAACCCCCTCTGTGAATAACGATGGAGGGCTGCAGCGCGGAGAAATGCGCGCATATGAGGGAGAGACGGAGAGGAGGAGAGAATGATGCAGCTTCACACGCGCTCGCGCTCACGCCTTGGCGCTCCGAGAAGTGGCTTGGATGGATCATAAACCCCTAATGAACTAATCTGAGTTTAATTCTTAAAGAATAAAAACAAACATTCCTTGTCTTTAAAAATGTTGCGTTTTTTTTTCGTTACCCATTTTGTCACTATGCTGTTATTGAGAACAACGCAGATGTTCTGGGTCTACTTGATAAGTTACTTGTTAAAATGAAACTGATATTTTCCAATAGTCACACATTTGACCTGAAACAAGATTTAGATCTTTAAAATAAAGCTTCTTTAATAGGCTACCAGTGGTTCCCGTTTGACATCCATAAGCTTTGTGTTGCACACTCTTCAATGTGTAAAAATATAGTTAAGATGATAAAAAAAAATGTCAAACATAGTTATTTGAAGAGCAAATTACTAAAAATTATTTTAGTAAACCCTAAATGTCTTCTACAGCATCACCATGAAAACTCCATTTTAGAACTATTCTTAGTGTGTAATTTACCATGAGCATTAATAATAGATCATACCCTTTTACACACATCATTAAGCAAAGGAATGATTTTTGGGATGGAATGATCTGGTCATGTGACACATGCCATAAAAAGATCAATTTCTAAACCACTTTTTTTGTAGCTGCAGGGATGCTGTTTGTCCTGAACTGAAAGTATACGCAGGGAATCAGCCTGGAGAGAAGTTCAGTGACAGTCCTGCAGGGATCTATCAAAAAAGTACATGGCATTGACAGTCTGCACTTTAAATGAACAAACTTAATTGATCCAATCAATAAGCCTTAACAAATATGTTAATTTGAAAATAATTTAATTGTTTACAAAACCTTATGTGACAGTGGTGGCACTGGCCAACTCAGATTGAAAGCACGGTCTACCCAGTCAAATAAAGAATTATGAATTCTGCTTTAAACAAAAAGTAAGACAGATCTTCAGATCTTTATCTGACTTGTCTTTATCTGACTTGCCTGATCAAGATCTCTGCATTTGGGGGCTCACCACATTCTTCTAAAACCCTGACAAAACCCATCAGTCAGCTCAAGCCACCCATGTCTTACACTGATTGCCCTATTCAAGTCTCTCAACTCTGCTAGCTCTGTTCAAGCATTCAAGACTCAGTCGACTCATGCTAAGGTCATTGCTCTGCTTGCTCTGCCAATTTGGCCTGCTCTGCCAGGTCCACTGAAGCAACTTGGTCTGTCACTTTCACCTACATTACCTTTACTTCCATTTCCAGTCAGGCTTCTTTTAGATGTTGCTTCCTGATGTCCTTCAGCAGTCCAGCTGTGCTATTTTTTTTTTTTTTTTTTTTTTTGAGATTCCTATTTCTTCAAAACAGAACTCTTCCTGGTTGATTTCTCCAGTCCTGCACAGGCTGGCTGCCCTCCTCAACTTCACTAGCTACTCTTGCATCCTTGATATTGTTTTAGATGCCACTCCTGTTCTTCCTCCTTCTATTACTGATGTCAAGTTAATGTCAAGTTAATGCTAGTCCATGCGTTCTTCTGTTGAAGTATCCTTTGTTCAATTTCCTTTGTAGGGGCATCTGGTGTATCCCATGTAAAAGTGTGGTGTCACTATTGGAAACAGATCTCTAAATAAAATTCTCAATCTATTCCACTAGAAAATCCTGATAGATCGGCTTTATATTATTATACAAAAGGCCCAGCTTACTGAGAATCAGCACACCAGATGCGAGGGCATAATGTCAAAAGCAAATCATTGTAATCAATGATGCTGTCTACAGTGGACAAAATATGCAGATACACATTCAGTTTCTGAAGTTCACACACACCCACACTTGAGCAAACATGAAAAAAATAATTTAACATAAATCAGAGAAAAATATTTGTTATTATTTTTAAGTCATAGCCAATGACATGATTGTGCAGTGGTTAGCACTGTCGCCTTACAGCAAGAAGGTCACCGGTTTAAGCCCCGGCTGGATCAGTTGGCATTTCTGTGTGGCGTTCGCATGTTCTCCCCGTGTTCACATGTGTTTCCTCCTGGTGCTCCGGTGTCCCGCACAGTCCAAAGACATGCTCCATAGGTGAATTGAATAAACTAAATTGGCCGTATTATATGCCTGTAAATGAGTGAGTATGGATGTTTTCCAGTACTGGGTTGCAGTTGGAAGGGCATCCGCTGTGTAAAACATATAAGTTAGCAGTTCATACTCCTATGGCGACCCCTGATGAATAAAGGGACCGAAGCCGAAGGAAAAAGTCATGATCAGGTTTAAAAATGACACTGATTGACACAATTGACACTGTTCTGTGAGGTTTCCTTTGGTTATTCTCAATGCCTCACTTTCATTTAGTTGTTAAATTTTCTTGCCATGATTCTAACGTCTTTAATTCACTGACGATGTATTCACAAAAAAACCTTTGTTTTTTTCAAATAAAGTTTAACATTTTAAAATTTTGCCCCAATTGTGGGCTGTATAGTATATGTAACTTATTTAACTTAGATTTCTTTACATAGCGAAAAAAAATATTATTTTCATAAGTGCTCCCTGCTGTAAAATGTAATGTACTGCCAGCAGTAAAAAAAAGAAAAAAAAACTGCACCTAGACTTTATCTCTGTATGTTTCAATTATTCCGTTTCATTATTCACTTTGAAAAAAACTGAAGAGTTCAGATGCAATATCTTCTTAATACCATCTGAATTTTGTGTAGATTCAGTAATATAACGTTTATGGCAAAGGATAGGCTACATCTTTTTATGGTCTTTAGCCTAAAGTGAAATATCTCAACATAAACAAAGGAGGATGAGAAAAATGTTTTGCATCTGGACAACTTCAACTTCAACTGCTAATGAATAACCTAAACATGCCATCTTTCGGATGAGACGTTAAAACGAGATCCTGACTCTCTGTGGTCATTAAAAATCCCAGGATGTCCTTCAAAAAAGTGTAGGGGTTAAAACCAGGTATCCTGGCCAAAACTCCCCACTGGCTTTAGTCCATCATGGCCTCCTCCCCATCATAATTGGCTTCATCATTCTGTCTCCTTTCCACCAATCAGCTGATGTTTGGTGTGCGGTTTGGACTGGAGCAATATGGCTGCCGTCGCGTCAATGGTATCTGGATGCTGCACACTGGTGGTTGATGAGGAGATTCACCCAAAAATGTGTAAAGCGATTTGAGTGTCCAAAAAAAGCGCTATATAAGCGAGGCAGTGGCGCAGTAGGTAGTGCTGTCGCCTTAAAGCAAGAAGGTCGCTGGGTCGCTGGTTTGAACCTCGGGTCAGTTGGCGTGTCTGTGTGGAGTTTGCACGTTCTCCCTGCCTTCTTGTTGGTTTCCTCCGGGTGCTCTGGTTTCCCCCACAGTCCAAAGACATGTGGTACAGGTGAATTGGGTAGGCTAAATTGTCTGTAGTGTATGAGTGTGTGGGTAAATGTCTGTGTGGATGTTTCCCAGAGATGGGTTGTGGCTGGAAGGGCATCCGCTGCGTAAAAACTTGCTGGATAAGATGGTGGTTCATTTCACTGTGGCGACCCCAGATTAATAAAGGGATAAACCGACAAGAAAATGAATGAATGTTAGTGTAATAACTTTATCATAATTAACTAATTAATCATATTTAAGTCAAGGATGTCATCTTAATATGTGGTTTGCTTATTGCTAAAATCTACATTACATTTTACTTTATCTTTATATTTCTCACTTACAGAGTGTATTTCTCACTTGTTAGATTTTGACAAAAGCACCATCTCAAACTTCAGTGTGTGTTCTCATCATTTTGACAGGCTGCGGTTCTCATGTGTTCCACAGCGGCCCCGTGAGTCTAAAACGTAACACTACATTGCTTATCATGTTCTCAGCGGGTCCAATAGAACTCATTTTCGTGGATGATGGGTGGTAATTACAACACGCTTTCCAATAAGCGCACGTTTTGAACATGACTGACGTTTTGAACATCCAATAAGGTGTCCGCTTTTAACAACGTTGTCCAATCCACGTTCCCTAGAGCGCTCTGCCATGCACCAAATAACAAATCATTTGACAACGCTTGTTTGCGATATGAGAGAACTATGGCTTCCTCCTTGATTAAGTGGTTAAGAGGATTATATGTGTTTTTCTTAACATGTCTCCTGTCTGTCTTTGCCTTTTTGAATCTAGAAGAATTAAACGAAATGAAATATGGCATACAGATTCTCCCCGATCCTGTTATCATGGGACAGGTAGGATTGTGGGATGCAGCTAGCTGGGGATGTTTGTTTGATACAAACAAACAGCTGTTAGCTTTAAGCACAGCATGGCACATTTGCCATTAACAACTACGTGTTTCGGTGTCTAATAGTCGAATATAGGATAGTAAAACAATAGCTAAATTAAAGAATGGTAAATTAGCTGTGACAGGTTATTAGCATAACGTTAGTTGGACTGTGCCTCCACAGGTATGCTACAGATTGTGCCTGATTGTAAATACAATATGACTTTAATATATATGTTGAAAATGAGCATGGTGAAGTTACATTTTTGATTGTGTTGTAAACTGTTGCACCTCTCCCTAGTTCTGCTTTTCTAATTTTGACTTTCTATTCCTGTTTTCAGATGGAAGATGTAATGTTGGTCTCTAACAAATACAAGCAGCTGTATGAGTGTCGTTTACCAGCTCAGGCAGTGCGTTTCCATCAGGACCCGGTGTCAGAGCCTGATGTGCAGGGTTACAGCGGCCCCGGGGTCCCTGAGCTCCTCAAGCCCATGCAGACGGCAGCATGTCTGATTAAGGTAGTTTCTGTCACAGTCACTCGCACACTAAATATACACAAGCTCTGAATATACTCATCCACAGGCACAGATCTAGATAGATATTAGAAGTTGTGTAGTCTGGAGTGGTGGATGAAGCACACAAATTAAAAATAATAATAAAATATGACTCCAATAAAAGTTTGAAAGTGCTTTTGATGTAGTTTAGTCTTAAAATGAACATATTATTACTAAGTACTGGCTGCTGAATGTTTATTTTACAAGAAACATTTTTTTTGATTACTAATATTCTTTTAATGTATATTACGGTGGCAGAGAGAGCTTGATGTGCTGCAGTTTAAGAAAACAAAAGGAATTACAAAAAACCGCCAGTAAATTAAGAAAAATATCTTCATCTATTTGACAGCACACATGGTGCAAATCCCCACAACGCAAACACATTAAAAATGTGCTTCATTTTCACAAAACACAAACGATTTACGAAAACCTGCTGCATTCTCTCTCAACGCAATACATCAGAACACAATGGAAATGTTTCAGGTGGACCCATGAATGTGACAGGCGCTTCTGTGCCATGCCTATTGCTCATTGAAATTGTAGGTGATTGTTGAAAGGTGAGTTCTCTTGGTTTGTTTATTGGAACATCCTGATTCCCTTGTCTTTAGTAGTTATTATCCTAAATAGCCAAAACCTAAATATCCAGGTCTCTCATGATTTAGATCCCCTTGAAACATTTCCGTTGTGTTACGAGGCTATTTGAATGCGTTGTAAGAAAATGCAGCACATTTTATTAATTTGTTTGTGTTGTGAGAATGCAATGTTTTTTTAAAAATGTGTTTCCGTTGTGAGGATTTGCGTCACATGTGCTGTCAAACGGATGAACATCTGTTCCTAATTAATTACCATTTTTTGTAATTGCATGTGCTTTCTTAAAATTGCACCATGTTAAGCTCTCTCGGCCATTATAGTATAATGTTCTATAAAAATTATTTGATAATCATAATGCAAGTGTGCAGCCAATAATAAAATACAGCATATATTCCTGCATATTAAAACAACTATACAAAAATGGTCTAAATTCCCATTTACGCCAACAACGATAACTATTGTATAATCATGAGATATAGTTTTATAAAACTTCTGAAAAAAATTAACATATTGACAGCCAAAGCTCAAGAATTCAAAGCAGAAGCTGACAAAAACTGAAGTGCGTGTTTAAAGTAAACTCCATTAACTAGAATAAATTATATTTTAATTTACAGTTGAGTCAGTCTTAAAGCATCTTCCATTCAGACTTGAGAATTGTCCACTTCAGTTAAAAATAAATGGTTCAGTGCGATTTGCAAATTGAATATAAATAAATATAACACATTTTTTAACAAATATAAGGGTGTAAAAAGTCAAATATTATGCTTTGCAGTTAAGCAAAAGATTCCCATAATAAAATACCCCAATAAAGTGCAGGTACTTAAAGAGTCTCAAAAATAAAAATTTACTCACCCTCGTGTGGTTTCAAACAAAATAAAAACATTGTTAAGAAAGTTTGCAACCAGCAACATCTGACTTTCATGGTAAGAAAACCAAATACTATGGAAATGAATGGTTCCAGCTTTTTTCTAAATATCTTATTTTGTGTTTATCAGAAGAAAGTCAAACATGATTGGAACAAGTGAAGAGTGGGTAATTGATGACAGAATTTTCTGTTTTGTGTAAAAGTTTGTAGTAATAAAGTAAAAACTGTTCTCTCTGATCATATTCTCTCAATCAAAAATGTTGTTTTGAAAAAAAAGCACATTTGGAGTGGCTATGTAGAGTATGTGTAAATTAAGACGTAATAAATGATGTACATTTATAGTCATTTTAGGTCATGTTAAAATGATAAACTACATGTCGCTGTGATCTGAAGCTTGTTCATGTTTTGTTTGCAGACCAAAGACTGGTGGACCTATGAGTTCTGCTACGGCCAGCACATCAGACAATACCACTTAGAAGGCAGGTTAAATCTTTTATCTAATGTGTCTTGGATAAATTGAGTTTTACATGGTCTAAAAAATATATATGCACTGCCTGTATAAACATGTTTTTTATTAGTAGATGGAAAGGAATTTAGAGAATTTAGGACAGAAGCCTTTCAGGAAAATGCACTGCCTATAAATATATACTATTAAATATTTCAAGATGTTTGAAATGTGTTCCCTATATGTGATCGCAGATTCGGAGATCAAGGGAGATGTACTGTTTTTGGGATATTATGATACAGAGTTTGACTGGACGAATGAAACTGCAAAGGTAAGGTCAGGTTTGTTAATCTTGATTTGCTTGTCCTAATAAAATGTCTGTAAATGTTGTCAATTCAAATTAGGAATTCTGATACTAGCAGTAAATATTTTTTATTAACCACTTTTATGTTAACAAGTCTGTAGTTATCTTCTATATATTTTGTAGTTACAAAATTAAAATCTTGTTGATCTTTTTTTTTCAGGCATCTAAGCAGCATAAGCTGAAGAGGTATCACAGTCAGTCATATGTCAATGGCTCAAAATGTGACTTAAACGGCAGTCCCAGAGAGACGGAAGTCAGAGTAAGATACTAAGTGCCATATTCCAGACTATAGAGAAAAATAATGAAGAAAGAGTATTATTGAAGTCAGTCTAATGGCTAACAATAAACAATAAGGACACTAGTTAACTGTTGTGACTAGTCTTCTTAATTCTGCTGCTGTATGCACACACACTGTAGAATACCTTCACTATACAGATGTTGAGCTCATTAGACCTCAAGTAATGCATATATATATATATATATATATATATATATATATATATATATATATATATATATATATATATATATATATATATATATATATACATATATATACATACATATATACATACATACATACATACATACATACATACACACACACAATTTAAGGTTAGATAGATCCTTAAATGGATCAATCCTAGGTAGATCAAATTGAGGCTAGATAGATCTGTCCTTTACAACAAGCACATGCAATAATCTCAGATCTGATTCACAAACTTGTTTGAAGAACCAAATCAGCCAGAGACCAGTTATCATGATTAAAAGATCCAGGATCTGTCAGATTATCTTTGTTTAAGCGAGGTACAAAGAACGGACCCCAGTAGTTTACATCAGCAACATAGAATTGTATTTTAATCTAATGGCAATGATAATCTATATATGTATATTGTGTTTTTAACAGTTTGTGTGTGAGGAAGGCTCTACTGACTTCATTTCACGGGTGGATGAACCCCAGTCTTGCCGCTACGTCTTGACAGTCCACACCTCTCGCACGTGCCAGCATCCCCTTCTGCGCCCACCGTCCACTGCCAAACCACAAGGCATTGTGTGCCAACCTGCTCTCAGTGCCCAGCAGTACATGGACTACGTCAAGGCTCAAGTCTGTAAGTATGAGAGGTGATGATTTTTTTTACTTTACATCAAGGCACTGTAATTTAGGGATCGATTGGTGAAAATATCCAATGTTACAAATGATTTTGCTGTGATTCTGTTAACATGACATTAATTAGCTACACTTAATTTGCTGTTTATATGGTTGTCAAGAGTCTCCAAAGAATCCTTCACTTTACTGCATGACTGTGAGATGTTGAGGAGGATATATTTTGTGTTTAAAAGATGAGTTAATGCATTTAAAAATCAGTTAATAAATTTAAAAATTGTATTATTTTTTTATTATATCAATAATATATCAATTAAAATAATTAATCATGTTTTTGTATTTGTATACTGTTTAATTACTTTTTAACAGGTAAAATCAAACTGATCGAAATTAAAGATATTATTTATATATTTTATATTTTTGTTGTATGGTTTTTCTTCCGCCTTGATTGTGTTTATTAATTGTCTCTGTATTTTTTGTAATTTTGATTTTATTTATTTTAATTTATACAAAACAAAAAGTAAAATATATCTTAGGAAATTTACCAGAAAAAAAATGTATTATATTGTTTGAGTTGATGTTATTTCATCAAGTAACAGCATTAATTTTGTGCTAGTGGTTTTAACTAGCTATAACCCTGCTCACCCAGGAGAGATGACCTATATGCTGTCAAATGTTAATTACACTACTATTACAATAACAGGATATGGATTGCTATGGCAGCGCATTAAGCCCAGTCTATTGTGACTCCGTTCATTATTCAACAGTTGTTGCTTTCACCTTTTACACATACAGTGCTGTATACTTACTTGCATAGAAACCTTCAGAATCATAATCAGATATTTTTATTCACAATTTCTTTCCTTATCACTCATTACACTATTCATAAAAATGCCCTCGCTGCCAAGTTCTGTCCTATTAGATTAGATCTCCGGAGATGCAATCAGCCTACATTTAATTGTACTCTGTTCTCCAATTGATTCATTATTTTTAGCACCTAGACATCTGTCGTTGCCTCTCTCTCTGTCTCAGCTGACACCAAACGTAAAGTGGAGCAGATCTCAGAGGAGCTCAGAAACCTGGATGAAATTCTGTCCAAGGATGACAAGAACAAAGGTGTGCTGGATGACAGAACAGATGAGGAACCTGCAGTTAGCTCTGATGAGCCTCCAGTTTCCAAGGCCCAAAAAAAAGGTCAGCATTCAGACTGTGATTTGATTTCTTTATACTTGTATGACTGGGTTAGTTTTAAGGCCATCTACAACACCCTCAAAATCAGTCTTGAGTTTTTCAACCTCAATCCTGCAGTTATAGTTCAATGCACTGGGTGGTGCTGTGTAAAGGAAATATAAAACTGAGTTGGTGAGAAGTGATATATACAGGGGCGCTGCTGTTCAGTACAGGCCCTATGACAACTTTGTAGAATTGTACAACTTTGTACATGGTTACTAATAGTAACTCTAGGGCCCCCAAAACGGCGTGGGTCCTTGGAATGGTCCTAACTTTTCCCCCTAGCAGCGCCCGTGGTTATATGTTTTGTTTTCATGACCAGTTTTTAAGGAGACGCTGCTAATAAATAGTGTAAAAAATATTGGCATCACCACACTTTTTTTAGTTATTTGATTGTTTATATATGATTAAACAAGCAAATAAGGCATAATTTAAACAAATATGCACTGTTTTGCATAGATTTCTAACACAAAAATTAGAACATTGAAGGAAATCAGCTTCAGAATTCTTCTTCTTCTTCTTCTCTCTCTATTTTATTTTTACATTAGATTAATAGATTTTTACCAAGGGGATTTTGGATATGTCTTTCCATCAGATATTGTTTTGAACAGACAGACACATTAGAGTAATATATCTTTTTGTCAAGTGAGATTTGGGTATGTTTTTGTCATTAGATATTGCTGCAAACAGACAGAAAAAAATCGCATTGTTTTTTTTAGATTAGAGCACAGGGAGTCAATGGGCAAAAACAAAATTTTAGGCCTTTTTACTGTCCAATTTTAACTCCCTAATCAGGGAAAGAAAACTAAAGCAGCACATTCATTTACATGATCTTTTATTAATAGAAAATCTATTTACAAAAGTAACTGGGCCATTAGAAAAAATCCTTATAGTGTTTAGCCCTGTAGAAGTATAAAACTTCAATCTCAATGGTCTTAAAGTCTTACATTTGTCTTGGAAGTCTGCAAAAACCCTGACAATAGATTTTTACCAATTTTACAGATTTTTATGATTTTCTTCATCAAATATTACTGTGAACAGACAGAAAATGTCTTAAAATTCAAAAACAACGTTTTAGGCTTTATGAAGTCTTAAATTCACTAAAATATTGTGCTGTTGGTCTTAAATCATTTTAAAACAGTTAAATCTCCCCAATCAGTTCAATTACCATTACTCCATCTTAAAACATTTTTATTGCAAAGAGATGCAATTCACAATGACAGTTAGACGTTTTTACAGCAAATTCGCCTAATTAAATTACTTAATCAGGGGGAAAAACGAAAGCAACACATCCATTTACATGACCTTTTGTTAATGGAAAAACTATTTACAGAAGTAACTGGGCCATTAGAAAAAAAGTATAAAATTTCAGTCTTAATGGTCATAAAGTTTTAGCCTGCAGAGACCCAGAGAGCAATAGAATTTTACCAAGGGGATTTTAGTCCGTCTTGTCATCAGAAATTACTGTGAACAGACAGTAAAAATATTCCTCTGTGAAAAGCCTTAAAAATACATATTATAGTTAAAATCTTTATACAATGCGGCAAAAGAAGCACTTTGAAGTCTATTTTGCATGTTTTCTTTTCATTAGACTGGAAAAAAAAAACACTTTCTGAACAACCAAAATTGCTAAATTGGGGTGCATGTTAACATGTTTTTCCTGTTTCTCGACAAAGTCTAAGAATATTAAAATATGATTGACGCATGTGGCTGCAAAACCTCTTTGGGTCACCAATGTATATGTTTATCATATTAGTTTTTGACCTACTAACTACAAAATGAATTAAAATGGCAATCTCTGACATTGTATTACAGTATTTATTTTCACATCTTTTTATAAAACATTCAGGTGTGTCGTCTTGTGCATGTATAGTTTGTAGCTTTTTTGTTTATTATTTCAGTCTTGCTTTTACATTCTTGTTCTCTTCTTTAAGCTGTCTCTTTAGCAGCTTCCATGCAGCCTTCAAACAAATATCTGTGTATGTGTGATATAACAGAGGGTGAAGTTGCTGAGAAGTCGACGAGTGAAGAGCCAGAGGACAAAGACTTCTGGGAAGGAGTTACCAAACCAGCACACACAAAGCCAAGCACACCTGACACAGAGGTACAAACTGTCTGGAAATGAACATAATGTGAACCAGACATCTTCATAGTGAGATTTGGTCATTTACTTCATTTTACAACTCTCTTACAGACCCCTCAGGAGCCACAGGACAACCAATTACATGAAAATGATTGTAAGACAATTATTTTAATTAAACATAAAGTAACTATGTTGCATAAGAAGTTTTTTTTTCTTGAATCAAAAATGTAGCATCAGTTTTATTTAGTTTATTAATGAGTACCATACACAACCAGAATTACAGTATCTATGAAGCTAAAATTGGTCTTGATTTAAGGGTGATAAATTTATAGATGTTATGTAACAAGTAAAGCTGTGCTGTACAATCAAAACTTTATTTTTAACAATTTGTAAAATTTCTGCCATGAAACTATGCGCAAGCAGGCTGATTGGTTACCTAATCTGCCCCTGCGTCATGAGTTGAAATGCTCTGCGTCATTTTACGCTGTCAAGCTGCTGCATGTTTTTGGAGACCCTCTTCCACCCCAGCTCCACCTGTGTTTGGATCTGCTATGGCACAGGTGTCAAACTCAGTTCCAAAAGGGCCGCAGCTCTGCACAATTTAGTTCCAACCCTAATTAAACACACCTGATCAAACTAATTGAGTCCTTCAGGCTTGTTTGAAACCTGCAGGTAAGTGTGTTGGAGCAGGGTTGGAACTAAACTGTGCAGGGCTTCGGCCCTCCAGGAATCGAGTTTGACACCCCTGTGCTATGGAGTTTTTATGCATAATATGTTTGCAGCAGCCGCATGTTATTTTCTCAGACGACATGTATGTGCATATGCTGGCTGTAGCAGGTCTCAGTACTTGCTCTGCCATAATTATCAAAGCAGCAGCAGTGTAGCAGATCTTTACTGCCAGGACCAAAAACATCAGCATTGCCATATACATAATTAATCCCATACTAAATCCAGAGAGTTTTTATGACAAATTTATTCAGGGGCTAAATGATTTTGCTATTTTGGCAACTATTATTGTAGATATTTTGCTTTACTTTATGCATGATTTAATCAAAAAACATATCTAATTACTTTTTAATTTATTTGTTTAATTATTTGTTTTGTATTAAATCTAAGTATAAACATTAAATCAATAATAAAGAAATAATAGTATTGTTTGTAAAGTATTTCATAATGTTTAAGCAGTAAAATGATATAATTTTTCTCTCATTTGGCTTGGTGAGTGTTTAGGCCCTAAATATCTCGCATATTATATTTAATATAAAAGTCCAAATCAGTGATCTCATAAGTGAACTGTCTAAAAAGACTAGATGTTGTGTCCTTAAATCACTTTCTTTGTCCTCATTTCCTTTTTCTGTTCAGTATTTGGAGAGGAAAAGTTTAACTTTAAAATCATCACAGACCCCGCAGACCTCATGAAGTTTGTACAACACCTCAGAGAGAGCAACGAAAAGGTTTGTATTTTTAACAAAGTCTAACTTATCAGCCAAATTTTCCTCTAGCCATTTCCAAATCTTGCCAGTTGCCATTGCATGATGTTTTTAAAAATTTTCAGCTACAACCTATTTTAAAAGGGCTCCCATTTTACCCCTTTTACAAGATGTAAGAAGTCATTGGTGTCTCCAGAATATGTCTGTAAAGTTTCAGCTCAAAATACCCAACATGTTCTGTTTTAAACATGCTCTGTTTTAAACATGCTCTGTTTTAAAAAAAATTAAAACTTGTTAAACTCATTCTTGAGATACAACTGATCACAGAGAGCTGAATGTATCTTTTAATCCCAGTTTCTTTGCAAATCCTATTCTGTGGACATGTGTAGATCCACATAACTACAAAGACATGTTAATATGCTCCTGTCAGTCAATACGGTGGGCAGGGAAAACCGCACTCCTGCTCCTCAAAATCACTGGGATTTGTATCCTGTTTTGTAATATGACTGTGGACACACTATTTCTGTACCTACACACAGTTCTGTCTAAACAGTTTCCAAAAGTCGATTTTGCGTCCAAGGTGTCCTTTCAAGACACTGTCAAGTAAAGAGTCACTACCCATTAAAAACATGTGTTGTTCAAACTTTAATTTCTGTTTTGTATGTTCAGAACAGGAAAGCTGAGCTGGAAAAAGAAAACCAGCAAGCATCTCAGAAGAGGAAGGAGAAGGAGGAAAAAATAGAGGAGAAAACAGCAGAGGTGGAGGTGGAAGTTGAGGATGTAGATGAAGATGAAACATTGCTTCAGGAGTTTGAGGATGAGATGCAAGATCTATCCGTTCCCTCGTCCAAGATAGAAGAAATAAAAGAAGAGATGCAGAAAGAGTTTGACAACATCATAGAGGAAGTACGAGTTGATACTCTTAACACCTTTGTATGTATTATGCCTTCAGTTAAATATTTGTCAGTGAACATTGTCTTATTGTGTTTTAATCTTCTAGGCTCAGCAGGAGTTAGAAAATGAAGGCCTTAAGGGTGAGTTTGATCGTTCTCAGGCTACGCAAACTCTAGAAAATACACTAGGGAAACTTCTGGACCGTCTTGAAGACAAGACTGAACATAAGAGTCAAGCAGAAACAGAACAAAATGCAGAAATGGATAAAAGCACACATTCACCGCATAAAACAGAGGGAGGCTCTTCTTCTGGCAACCCAAATCTGGTTCCCAAAACACCAGGTAAATATAGAGACCTCAGAGGGGAAACAGGTGCATGAGCGAACAGATGGTAGAATGGATGGCTCATTAAAATGTCTCTAACTTTCATCTGTGCACCCCAAGCATTCATAGAATCTGCTTATGAGCTTATTATACTATACATATATAGTATAATGTCTGTGTGTGCATGGCTTGTATTTTTGCATTATACAGTGGCTCAAAAAAGTAGTCATCAACAAACAACTGATGCTAGACCATTTCAATTAATGGCAAATAATTTTTTCTAACTGATTTCAAAGAGAAATTATTAAGTATTAATTATGCCTGTCATGATATCTGCTTTTCTGTTGTACGATTTACACTATCTGACAAAAGTCGTGTTGCCTATCCAAGTTTTAGGAACAACAAATAACAACTTGACTTCTAGTTGATTGTTTAGTATCAGAAGTGGCTTATATGAAAGGCAAAGGCCTCTAAATTACGCTTATTTTACCAAAATATGATCATGACTTGATTTTTAATTATTTAATTAGGACAGTAAGGTCTGACTTTGCTTAGACAAAAGTCTTGTCACTTAACAGAAATAATGTACAGTATAGAATAAAGTCATGGTGCAGTGAAAAAAGAATTAAAATAGTGTATGACTGCCATGAGCTTGCAGGACTGCACTGACACAAGTCATTTGGAATGGTAAAGAAAGCGTTCCTGCAGGACTCCCGGGTCATCAAGATTCTTTGGATCCATCTTCAATGCCTCCTTCATCATCTTACCCCAGACATGCTCAATGTTCATGTCTGGTGACTGGGCTGGCCAATCCTGGAGCATCTTGACCTTCTTTGCTTTCAGGAACTTTGATGTGGAGGCTGAAGTATGAGGAGCGCTATCCTGCTGAAGAATTTGCCCTCTCCTCTAGTTTTCAATAAAATTGGCAGCACAAATGTCTTGATACCTCAGGCTGTTGATGTTGCCATCCACTTTGCAGATCTCTTGCACGCCCAATACTGAATTTAACCCCAAACCATGATTTTTCCTTCGCCAAACTTGTCTGATTTCTATGAAAATATTGGGTCCATGCAGGTTCCAATAGGTCTTCTGCAGTATTTGTGATGATAGAGATGCAGTTCAACAGAAAAATCTATCCTCTGCTACTTTTCCAAATGATAAACTAGAAGTCAAGTTTATATTTGTTGCTCTTACAACTGGAAAGGATGACAAGGTGCTGTAGGGCAAAATATATTGCGAAACTATATTGTAATTTTAAGATCATTTTATGCCACTCATTATATAATCCCAGAATGACAGTATAATATTATTGCAATGCAAGTACACTCTTCCAAAGAAAACATCATATTTTATTTTTAGGAATATTTTATTTAATTACAGACATTTTAATAATGAGGCATTGCGATCAGAATGGAATGTGAAAACGTGTTTCCTAAACAATTAAATAATAGTAAATGTTAACAAAATGTGCAATGCAAAAAGTAACAGAGGCTGTGATATCTGCTACCAGATTTCTTTTCATTTGTCAGACACCAAATAATTTATAGTTAATACTATAGTGTTTTTAACTATACTGACACTGAAACCTTCAATACAGATCGAGAGGTTGGGCAAACAGCTAAAATGTTGCTAGTTTTTATGTATGAGCCATATATATTGCATCACCAAAAATTATTGACGTCAAGTCTATGTATTGATTATAGTGACGAGCCAAGTATTAATAATTTTTTTTATTGTAATTTTTTATGATACACTGCTATTTGAAGGTTTGGGATTGGCTTGATTTAGGGTTTTGAAAGGATATCTTGCTTATCAAGGCTTTGTTTATTTAATTAAAATACAATAAAAAACAGAACAGTCTGTTTTAGTATGTATTTAATTAAATATAATTTATTTCTGGAGTTTGAATTGAATTGCCACATGACAAATGAGAAATTGGTTACTCAAGAAACAATTATTATTATTATTATTATCAGTTTCAAAAATAGTTGTGCTGCTTTAAAGGCATAGTTCTACCAAAAAATGTTTAGTAGTTGGCTACCAGTTTCCAGCATTCTTCAAAATGTCTTCCTTTGTGCATTTCAGAAAAAAAATTATACATTTTTAAACCACTTGAGAAAAAGTAAATGATGACAGATATTTTCATTTTACTTAACTGCCTCTTTAAAACAAAATCTTTTGTAATATTTTTTAAAGTATTTTGATTCATTCCTACTGACCTCTATGGAAGCCCGTTCTGGCCACTGAATAAAGAATGAGTTCAATGAAAAAAAATATATAAAGTAATAATTCTGAGTTAAGTCAAAATTCTGAGTTATTAAGTCAGAATTGCGAGTTTTTAAGTCAGAATTCAGAGTTATTAAGTCAGAATTCAGAGTTAAGTCAGAAAGGTGAGTTATAAAGTCAGAATTGCGAGTTATAAAGTCAGAATAGCGAGTTAAGTCAGGATTGTGAGTTGTTAAGTCAGAATTCAGAGTTATTGAGTCAGAATTGTGAGTTTTTAAGTCAGAATAAACAATAAAAAGTTGGATATAGGCTTTATGTTTTGATTATGAGCTAATGTGCATGCATCTTTAACACTGCATTTATGGTCAGTTGGCATAACAGGAAACGCAATTATAATTCGCAATTCTGACTTAAATACTCAGGATTGTGACTATAACTCAGAATTCTGACTATAATTCGGAGTTGCGACTTTATAACTCAGAATTGCGACTTTATAACTCAGAATTGCGACTTTATAACTCAGAATTCTGACTTTATAATTTTTTTTTATTATTAGTATTTTTTTTTTATTCAGTGGCAGGAATGGGCTTCCATAGACCTCAACCTATTCAATAGTAGTGTATTTTTGTTTACTTATTTTCAATGATCAGCAGTCAAAATACTTTTTAGATGCCACTGTATAAACGATGTTCATGATGAAATCACTGTCACCGCTGTTTTTAATTCTACACATTGCCATACTGCTGTGCAACTCTGTCTTTTGATGTAATACAAAGTGGGCAGGGGGATTTTATTTTGCGATGTACTCGCGGTAACCCTACCCTTCCCTCTGTCTCACATCACCCAAGCGGACAGCAGCGGCGGCGGCGAGCAGGTAAAAGTCAGGGTGACTAAGTATAAGGTGGGCGGAGGTGTGGCTGCAGGAGCGGTTACCGGGGGCAACGATGATGGTGATGATGATGAGGGGGGTGTGAAGGTGCAGGAACTGGGCGAGGGCGACCCCCAGTGGCAGCAGATTCATGAAGTGGTCAAAGAGCAGCTAGAGAGAGCCGGCATCAAGGCCGAAGGTAGGCCAGAACACACACACACAAATCTAAAGTATGCTTATTTCCCTGTGTGTGTGTGTCTTTGTGAGTGGAGCAAAAACTTTTATCTTTCATTCTCAAAACCTTAAACTATTCTTTTTAATCTGGGATTTGGGATGAGTAACTTGTTTTTTTAATGACATCTTTTTGTTTTTCTTCACTTTGACTCTTCTGTTATTCAAGATCAGGGTACTTTTCAATTTAAAAGGGCCTTTGTCCCAAAAATTAATATTATATCTCCATTTTTTTCATCCTTGAAAGGTTCCAAGAGTTTCTTTCTTTCTGTTGAGCACAAATGAAGATATTCTGGCTTCGGTGGCAACCAGTTTTGTACATTTTTTCAGAGTATCTTCTTTTATATTCAACAGTAAGTAACTGGTGATTTAAATACCCATGTTTTTTGATGAAGTATACTTTTTAAGCGATCTTCTCAAATACCGGTGCGGTGACTTTGTTCCCTTGATGCTGGCTTTCAAAAGAGGTCTTAAGAATAGCTTTGAAAGAAAACATCATAGGATTAGCACACAATCATTTTGTCAGTAGGAACCCGGGTGGCTGTGCTACCAGTTTAACTGGTTTTGGATTGGACTTGATGTTCATGCTGACAGAATGTGAAGATTTAGGAGCTTGACTGCACTTCATTTGTCTTTCCTTCAGCTCTTCATTGCATGCATCATTTCTGTGACTGCTTCCTTTCATTCTTTCTTTTAACTGTGTGTATGGGAATGAAAATAATAATTGTTTCTTTATTTAGTATGACTGTGTTTGTGAAAGTACAGTTGTCTAAATAAATGTATGCAAATGAAAAAAAGGATTTAGGATTTCTGACATGTTTTTCAGGAAAGATCGAGGTGAAGATTTTAACCCGTAAAACAGCCGAAGAAGCAGGAGACCAGTGGCTCTCTGAGGAGGATACGAAATCATTTAGAGAGCTTCTCATCAACCTTCTGGTATGAATTTAAACAGAGATAAACAAGCCATCACCTGTAGGATGCAAAAGGATCTTATTGGGCCTTGAGGCTAAAGCAAACCCAAGGGTCCCCTTTATGTAATAATATGATGATGTAATATTTTTTTCTTTATTATTTAATTTATTTTTATATTATTATTATTATTATTGTTGTTGTTGTTGTTGTTGTTAAAAATGTGTTCATTATTTCTTTTTCTTGTTGTTGCTATTAGTATATTATTAATGTTGAAAAAATAAGTGTTATAGTAATAATAATATAATGTAATAATATTTTTCCTTATTAATTGGATTTTTAAATATTATTATTATTATTATATTATTATATTATTATTATTATTATAAATTCATTATTTTATATTATTATTAATAGTATGTAGAAACAATAATAAATGTTGTAGTTGTAATAATATTTTTTATCAATTTATTTTATTTTATGTTGTTGTTGTTGTTATACATTTTATTTTATAAATTTTGTTATAAACTATTATTATTAATGTAGAAATAAGTGTTGTAGTAGAAGTAATAATAATAATAATAATATAATGTTTATTTTTCTTTGTTTATTTAATTTGTTTTATATTATTATGGTAAATTTGTTTATTATTTTATTTTGTTGTTGTTGTTGCTATTAGTATATTATTTATGTAAAAATAATAAATATTGTTGTAATAATAATATAAACTTTTTTTTCCTTATTAATTGATTTATTTTTATATTATTGTTATAAATTTGTTGATTTATTTCTTGTTGTTATCAATTTAAAAACAATAATAAGTGTAGTAGTAATAGTAATAATATAATGTAGTAATATTTTTCCTTATTAATTAGATTTGTATTGAATTTATAATAGTAATTATCTTATTATTATTTAATGTAATAATATTAAGTTTAATATTAATATACATATACTGTAGTAATAATAATAAATGTAATTTGCATGGAGTCTAAATTGCATAATGCTTAAAAAAATACTGCTTTATTTAGTCAGCATAAACAGCCACTAATATCTACTTGCACTTGCAGTATTTAAATAGAGGCAGATGCTATTTACACTGTGTACAAATATGTGCTACTATATTTATTTTATGCAAATAGCCTCTGCCTAAATAAATTGGTGTTCTCTTTCTTTGTAGACAGGAGGAACAGAGGAGGTGTACAAAGAGCAGAAAAGACAGCAAGAGTTGGAAAACAATTACAAATTTGTCTGGGGAGAAAAGCAGGATGAGAGTCAGTCCACAGGAAACAGTGATTCTGACGAAGCAGACTTTTGAGCCTTTTCCTCATCTCTCAAGCACTGTTATTTTGAAGAAGGCCAGCCAGCATTCTCTGAACTATAAGCCTGGTAATCACTTTACAGTGTGCGTCGCAACCAAACTGCCCTCTCAGACCATTCGAGTTCATGTTTAAAAACTTTTGAGGGCTTCAATCCACTGCCGGGAATTTTTTCTGTATGAGCGTCTGTGAGTTGTTTGTAGCTTGTCAGAATATTATGTGGTCGCTTCTTTGAACAAATATACAAATGCACTTCACCTTTGAGTTGTGTTGTGCTTCATGTCAGTGTGTGACAAAGCCCTTCCTTCCTCCTCTTTCACCTCCAGACAAACATCAGTTAGTCTGCAGGCAATCTCTATGCCAACATTTTCTCATCAGTGGACAAACAGTGATGTTCTTTTGGATTGCCTTTCAATGGCAGGGAAATATGGATACATGCAGAGCTGTTTTTAGGGATTGAGTGTGGTGATGGTCAGAATCCCTTCACCTTAAATCAAATTTTTTTTTTGTCTTGCATGTCATGCAAAACAACCTAACAAACCCAGAGCCTCTGACCTATAAGCAAATAATTCAATGTATGGTTGCTGTTTAGTCATAGATTAACATTTCGCCAAAAATAAAGAACATCTAATTACCAGAATTAAAATAGAAGTGCTCAGGGGTAGCTTAAATAATGTGTCTGTGCTCTTTGGATGAGGGATTCATCATAATAAAGCAGCAAAAATCAGTCCAAGGCGCTCAAAAAATTTGGAAACAATTTTAAAAAGCATTTATTGACATGGCTATTCCTTAAAACTGTGGCTACACATGAAAATAACTGTCTTCATCAGGCTAACTGTTTTTAAGGAATAGCCATGTTAATAAAGGATTTTTAATATTTTTCCACATTTTTGGAGTGCCTTAGACTGATTTTTAACATTTGAGTACCCTTTACACACAAGCGTCTTGTATATGAAGATGTTTTGAAAATTGATGGTAACGAAAAACATATGGGCCCCTATTGCGAAGCTGATACAGAGTTGGAGCAAATAGAGTGTGAGTAAATAATGACAGCATTTCATTCTTGGGTGAACTGTCCCTTTAAGACATGTTTAGGTGGTTTATTTATGTTCAGCCAGACTTCAAATGAATTATGTCTTATTTAAAACACAAAAACCACTGCCAGGCGTTGAGAATCTACTGCTTTTTGCTGCTTCTTTCATGTCCCTAGCAGATAAGGGCTGTTTTTGTTGTTGTAAATGTTTGGAATGATCATCATACTTTGGTTGATTGTAAAAAAAAAAAAGAAAAAAAAAAGAAAACTGAGCATTTGATTAGATTTTTTTTGTATAAATTAAGGCAACTGCCATTGCTAATGTCTCATGCACAATTTTTTAAGGGGGAATTAAATTGGTATAAGCTGCTGTAAGAAATTACAGTGAATATTTCTTTTTTTTTTTTTAACTGTGAGAAAGCATTGAAATAATGTTCACAAGCACTCTGTAAAAGCACCTAGGGTTGACAAAGAGGTAAAAAAATATATATAAGATTGTGCCTTGGGCCAATACATTTTTGCAGGTCTTGTTTGTCTAAATAACTGGAACATTGACGGGTGTGATCGACACATTTTAGTGACTCAGTACTTCTGAAGGAGAAACGAATCTTCATCCTGTCGAAACTACATTAGTTGGATGGAAGATAATTGTACAATAATATGTACAATATGCTGTGGTCTACTAAAATTGCATTTGATTCACAGTTTTGAATACGCTGATAGCAGTTAAGAGTCACAGTATAAAAGAATGGCTTATTGTCACATATTTAACATCTTGTTGTCTTCAGAGCACTGATACTAAATCCACTATTTGATTGTCAGTAATATAGGTTGAAATATCTGATATAAATACCAATAAAATTACACATCTTAAATTAGACCATATAAAATTAGATATGCAATTAATTTAAGAATTACACTGCAGATGAACATGGTATGCAAGCTGATTAACTAGATTAAAAGTTTCAAACATCTTTTGTATTAAACGTTGTCTAGATTGTTTTGTCTAAATATGAAAATCAGTCATTGTTTAATTGAATTTGCACTATTTCTATAATTCTGTACACTTAATTCAATTAGTGCTTCCCACAATAATTACTGTTCTAAAGCAGCTTTACAAAAGGACATAATTACAATCAAATTAAGTATAGGTTACAGTACAATCAAATAAAGGTAATTTTATAGAGGGTGTTTCAGAGTTTAGAAGCCATAAATCGACCTCCTTTAGTAGACTTTGCTATTCTGGGTACTACCAGAAGGCCCGAGCTTTGAGTACACTGGAAGAAGTAAGGCTCAATAGTCTTGTTTACACAGTTAAAGGTTTTTACAGAAGGGATTTTTTTATCACTCATAACTCTGAAAATAGTAAAAACTTTCTAAACCTCTGCAAAAATGTAGCTGTTTGTTTTTTCTGTTGATATCAGCATTCTCTGATATCAATAAAACTGCTCCATAAACTGGAGATTTATGGCAGTGCAGGAGGGATAAAGTCATATTGAAAAAAACAGAACATGTTAAGTGCTGTGAAAGGAATTCTGGATGTTTTCATTCCACTTGTATGAAAAAAGGCCTAAAATCTCAAAACTGACAGGTGCATAAAAAAACTTTAAAGTGTTAAGCAATAAATACGCATTAAAGGACGCCTATGATGAAAATTATCTTTTGTAAGCTGTTTGAACAGAACTGTGTGTAAGTATAGCGTGTCCACAGTCATATTGGGGTGATATAAACACAAAGTTTTTTTTTTTATTATTATTCCAAATCCCTCCCACCACAATGTGATGTAGGGGTGCCTTTTTCCCCTGCCCACCGAATTGAGTGACACCCGTAAAGCAAACGAGATTAAAAGATCTGTTCAGCTCTCTGTGATCATCAATCATCATCAAATGTGATCAAGAATAAGTTTTACAAGTTAAAAATGTTTTATAACAGTGCATGTTTTTAATGAATTACAGCAATTTTACTGTCTTCACATTATCACCACAGTACGCATGTCAGTACAATTATAAAAGAAGACATTAACATAGCGGATATCCACACAGCAGTGGATTTTAACCTGTATACTTTCACATTTGCATGCAAAAACAATGCAAAGTTAAGCGCACGCACTGTGCGTGTATGTCTGTTTGTGTACACATGAACTTTGTAACTACATTGTGTGTGACTCATCGTTTTTATCGACTCATTAACTCCACAGCAAATACATCAAATACATCAAATAATCATTGGTAAAGTTCTTACTGTATGAGATCTGCTTCCTTTATGTCTGTCACTGTGCTGTTCATCTGACTCAGCTGAGGCAGAGATTGAGGCACACTCTGACAGGCACATTGGAACTGTGGGCGGGGAGAACCAACATTAAAGGCACAGGCAACAATAACAGCTACATTGTGTTTAGTGCAGAAAATTCAACATTTTGGAGACGCAAAAGACTTAACTTAAATCTTGAAAAAGTAGTAAAATAGATGCCCATTAAAATACAAACGGCTATTGTTGACAGTTTTCAAAAATATTAATTGTTTCGTGTTATCAAATTAATTTTGTTCAGTTGTCTAACGCATTTGGTAGGTAAACAACACAAATTGGCTGTTTCAATCAACATTTTCAGTAAATATCAAGCTAGACTAGGCGTAGTTGATGTCAAGCACAAGAAACTTGCAAACTTCTCTTGGCGTGATTCATTTGGCTCAGTGCCTTCGCTCACTGGAATGTGCTCACGGTTGGATACATGTGGGCCAATCAGAACACGTCTGTTATGACTGACAGGCAAATTGTCCAATCGAACGCGCTTCCGCGTGTCTCGTATTAGTTGTGACGCGAGCAGTTCACAGTTCACAGTTGTGCAAGCGTTCAGGCGTTCAAGTAGGATTTTCTTTTGTTTTTTAAATAAAAGCGACTCATCGTTATGAGATGGGTGTGTGTCACAATCCACGAAACAAAGAGTGTCAGAGAGTACACGTTGGCTAATTATAATACGGAAATGAACCGCCCCTCATACCGCTCGGCTTTAACGTACTTGCTGAACATTCGGATCAGTTAGGAAGATAGGAAGCACGCTGCTAGTTAGCCTTAAGTAAAGCATAATATTATCTACCAACCCAAACTTGTATGGGTTAGAATACAGCCAGGATATGATTCTGGAGTCCGTTCATGTGAGTAGGCTGTCAAATGTCTTGGATTTCAGTTAAAAACCGTAGTTCACGATAATGCTAGCTCTCTGAATTGGACCGAAATGGCCTCGGAGCCGAATCCTGCGGTTTTTCTCACTTCTGTTATGGAGGAAATCAACAGCCTGGTAAGATTCAGCGTTAGCGTGCAATAATGCTAATATCCACCCTCTGGTTGTTCACTTTATTCATTGTAAAGATGGTTGTTGTCAAACTTTTTGTGTACAATAAAGTCAACAGATTAGTGAAAGTTGTTTTTACAGAACTTGTTCAATAACGACAAAAGCAACAGTTGAAATGTTTACATTCTGTTTTACGTATTTGTTTTGTAACACTTTACATTAAAATATACTTGAACACATGTTAACCTGAAGTCCCCTTGTAAGTTTACTAAGGGCCCCCTCGTTTGGCAGCTAGTTAACTGCGCTTGGACGTACACGTCATTTTTTAATTACAAGCCTATATTTGCCAGGAGTGTGACAGACAGAACGCTAACATGGTTCCATAACGTCTGGCGGTGTTGACATTTGGATTAATTTACCTAAACACATTCATCAGAATCTGCTAGTTTAGGTGTATTGTCAAGTAATATCCTGGTATGACGACGGAACGGAAGCAGTTCTGTCGCTACGTTGTCAAGTGCGAGGTTGTGCTGTCACGCGCCTAACTTGGGGTTTAATTTGGATAGTAAACGTCTGAATCTTGTATGTGTTCCCAATAGTCGCTGTGAGGTGAGGGTCTCTACATACAGAGCTCGTGATGAAGGCTCTCGGCGCGCGCTCCGCGTTCTACGTGGGCTTTCTGGTGGGCACGTGCAGCTTATACCTGCTCCTGCGTCAGGCTGGGTTCACCCGGGACTCGGGGTCTCGTGAGCCCGGGACCCACGATAAAACCCTGCTGGAAATGCTTGAAGAAGAAAACAAGAACTGGAAGAAGGAGAGGTCGGCTCTTTTCAACCTCAATCATCCGCACCATACAGGTAATAACGTGGCAGAAACTAACAGAGGTCCTAAACAATGCGAAGAATGTATAATGTAAAGCAATGGACATAGTATGAGCACTTCCCAAAAAAAAGTTAGGTTTATATCAAACTGATAGTTTCCATAAAAGTGGAAGTTTTGCCATTGATTTATTTAACATCATGACAAATAAGATGTGGTAAACCCTTTTCTTTTCTCGGACATTTAAGATGATTTTTAGCTAACACTTTGGTCTTTAGTGATTAATACAATGGAAGCAGACCGCTATCATCACTTTAGAGTCAAAAAACGTATACAGCGAAAACAAAATGAACACCTGTGGCTCCTGCCGGCGATACACTAATGTCATATGAAGCTAAATTATTGATATGTAAAGAGATTGAGCAATATTTACAACATTACTTTGGCAAACAGTCCTTATTGTATTGACAACAGACTGGAATGCAACCTTTTTGCATATTGACACTGAAATATCCACAGGCACAAGCTCTCAAACAGACTCTGTGTACTTTGTGAAATGAGGACATGGTTTAATTAAAATGATACTTGTGCTTATAATAGATGCTGCAAGCTATCTAAAATGTGCATTTGCATGTTCAGTCTCAATCAGGAAGATTTCTCATTGATCTACATCATTTTATTACAGGAAACTTGCATTTCTTGTCACAAATAAGCTGTGCATTAAAATAATCACATAAATAATGTTCAGCTTCTTGGACGGGCTAATTGTTTCACTTCATCAGGAGCCAAATGTATTTATTAGTTTAGTATTATTATTATTATTATTATTCTCAAAGTGCTGTTGACTTGTATTTTATGAATAACCAAGATCTATAGTTTCAGTTAAAATCTTTTTTAATAGTTTATTAAATAACTCTTTCATTGTCTGAGGTTGAGTAAATTTAAAGCACATTTTTAATTAAACTGACCCTTTGCATAGATTGTTCATCCAGAAACTGGATGAACCAAATCTAACCTGTTTGGCTTTTAATGTGTAACGTAAGACGCCAAAAAACAAAAAGAGAATGTCATCAGGAAACATGCTATGAAAGTGATTGGTCAAGTCATACAGGTTTGAAGTAACATGTTGAGTTTCTTACTTTAATAAAACTACAGGATTTTAATATTATATCCATATTTGTCTTTTTTAAGCATGCTTGTTTTAAGGTAACTGCTTATATTTGGCTGGAAAGGCTTAAATGTCCAACCTCAACATTGACAGTGCTGCCATTTCACCTCTAGTTCAACTTGTTTTGCTTTGTTTTTCTGCAAACTAAACTATGGAAATGAACACCCTAAATAGTGTGTTACAAACAGCAGTTAGCGATTTTGTTTGTGAGGTTGATTATGATTCACATAGAACAAGTATTTCTTGAATCTAACACTTCCTGCAATACCATTGTAAAAGCAGAGGAGTTTAACACTGGTGGAGTCAGTTGATGCATGCAGTTCTTATATCGACTACACCCGTTTATTGAGCTGATTTATGAATACAACATCTTACACTGATGTTAATCCATTCCATCTGATCATTTAGCCAGTTGTTTGTTTTCCAAGCCCTGTGTTTGACAAACTCTTTAAGGGTATGTTTGTCTATATTTTCTGGAGAAATGGACTTTGGGCACACATTTAATGTGTTGTCCTTGTTAAAGTGTACAGAGAGAGTTTATCACCAGTAGGTTGTCACTAAACTATCCTAAAAGCAATAAACGTTGGCCTGCCAGAAGTTGAGTTGAAATATCATGGAAAAATACACTGTAAAATGCAGGGTTATACACAATGTCTTTATGTTGTGTTCAGTTATATTAAATAATTAGTTTGAACAAGCAGTTGACATAAAATACATGCTAATCTACGCTTTGTAAAATTACTTTTTCTCTGGAACATTCAAGTCCCCATTCTAGTTTTTGTTTCTTTTCGGATGGTTAATTTGCATGTACATCACTATGCAGAAAGAATAGTCTACCGCTTCATTCATCAACAATCCTGCATAGGTATAGTAAAGCAAAGCTGAAAAATTGGCCATCAGACTTTGTTTGCATTTTGTGCAACTCGAGGGTTAAACGTCACTCTTTACACACATCAATGTTACGTAGATTGAACATAAAACAATTAAGTTATCCTAAAAAGCATCAAGAATTATGTTGGTTTAACTCTATTTAAATTAGAGCAAGCAGCAAAAATATTTTTTGAGTGTAGTTGTTATAAAATATACGATAATCTTTGCTTTGTAATATTATTTTTTTACTACTTGTATAGTTTTTTAAAAAGTATACTTTTATAGTTTAAATAGTTCATTTCACTGTTTTTGCAAATATGAAAGTTCTGCCATCATTTATTCCAAACAGCGCATGTTGATTTGAGCAGCCTCTGACCGTTTTTATCTGAATATACTGCAAGTCTCTTGAAATAAAGCTTCATTTTGGCTGTTTTGCCTAACTGTCAATGGATAAACAAAATAACGAGGATACATAAAAAAATAGTAGGAAAATTTTAAGTAGGAAAGGCAAACAGTTTAACGGTTTTGGAACATCATTGGGATAGGAAATAGGCTATAATTACTTTATTTTTGAGGTGACCTCTCCTAAAAATACACTACTGTCATGTCCATTACAAATATCTTGTCTATTACTACATGTCTACTTGTCTACTAGATTTTTATGTGTTTTTATGTGCATCGTGTAGGTGAGGATGGCGCACTGGCTGACTCTCTTTATAAGCGTGTACGCATTCTCTGTTGGGTTATGACTGGCCCTGATAACCTGGAAAAGAAAGCTCGGCATGTGAAAGCCACATGGAGTCGTCACTGCAACATTGTGGTCTTTATAAGCTCTGTGGACAATCCAGATTTTCCCACAGTTGGCCTGAACACTAAAGAAGGTCGGGATCAGCTATACTGGAAAACCATCCGCGCTTTCCACTATGTCATGGAGAAGCACGGCGATGAGGCCGACTGGTTTCTCAAAGCAGATGATGACACTTATGTGATCGTTGACAACCTGCGCTGGATTCTGGCTCGCCATTCTCCAGAGGACCCAGTGTACTTTGGCCGGCGTTTTAAGCCATATGTAAAACAGGGCTACATGAGTGGAGGTGCTGGCTATGTGCTCAGCAAAGAAGCTCTGAGGAGGTTTGTGGAGGGCTTTCGCACCAAGGTGTGCACTCACACTACCTCAGTGGAGGACCTTGCTATGGGTCAGTGTATGGAGAAGATAGGTGTCAAGGCAGGAGACTCCAGAGACACCATGCAAAGAGAGACATTCCATCCTTTCGTACCCGAGTCCCATCTTACTGGCACATTTCCCAAAACTTTCTGGTACTGGAACTACTGTTATTACCCCATTGTACAGGTGAGTCCGATTTCGGTGCCAAACTCATCACTATACTACCTGACAAAAGTCTTGTCGCCAGTCCAAGTTTTAGGAACAACAAATAATAACTTGACTTCTAGTTGATTACTTGGTATCAGAAGTGGTTTATATGAAAGGGAAATGCCTCTAGATTATGCTCAATTTACCAAACTAAAATATGATCATGTCTTGATTTTTAATTATTTAATTAGGACAGTAAGGTCTGACTTTGCTTAGACAAAAGTTTTGTCACTTAACAGAAATAATGTAGAGTATAGAATATAAAGTCATGGTGCAGTGGAAACAGAATTAATATTGTGTATGACTCCCATGAGCTTGGAGGACTGCATCCATACACCTCTGCAATAACTCAAATAACTTATTAATAAAGTCATCTGGAATGGCAAAGAAACCGTTCCTGCAGGACTCCCAGAGTTCATCAAGGTTTTTTAGATTCATCTTTAATGCCTCCTCCATCTTACCCCAGACATGCTTAATCATGTGTATCTCTGGTGACTGGGCTGGCTGATCCTGGAGCACCTTGGCTGAGATATGAGGAACACTATCCTGCTGAAGAATTTGTCCCCTCCTGTGGCCTGTAATATAATGGGCAGCACAAATGTCTTGATACCTCGGGCTGTTGATGCTGCCATCCACTCTGCAGATCTCTCACATGCCTCCATTCTGAATGTAACCCCAAACAACTATTTTTCCTTCACCAAACTTGACTGATTTCTGTGAGAATCTTGGGTCCATGCGGATGCCAATAGGTCTTTTGCAGTATTTGTGATAATTGGGTTGCAGTTCAACAGATGATTCATCGGAAAAATTTACCTTCTGCAACTTTTCCAAATGATCAACTAGAAGTCAAATTATTATGTGTTGCTCTTACAACTGGGACAGATGACAGGACTTTTGTCAAGTAGTGTAATGGGAAGATGAGTTTTTCTTTTTTTTTTTTTTTTTTTTTTTTTTAAGATTAGCTCTGTTTACATTTATATTTGTGTGTTCTGTTCTGTTATGTATCTCAGTTAAGTTATATTATTTTATTCCTCCATGAAAATGTTTTCTTTGTTTTACCTCAGGTGCTGATCTTTCATTTAACTGACAAATTCGGTCTATTTGCGAAAGTAAATACTATTCCCTGAAAGGGTCATGTCTCCATTCTAGTTTTGTTTTTGTTGTCGAACAATGAATAATTTGCATGTACATCACTATACAGAAGAAATGGACTAGCACTTCATCAACGTTCCTGTAAAATTGTGCATATGTGTAGTGAAGCAAAGATAAAAAATCTGTCATCAGGGTTTATGTTCACATTTAGTGCAACCAGAGGGTGTAAATATACACACATCCTGCTCTATTATATGACGCACAAGGATATTTACTCTACTCTTCAAGTCAAAAGCTGAAAATCCCCATTTCATTAGACCGATCAAGGGTGAGTTTAAATTGGCACAGATCAGCATAAAAGAGAAGAATATACTAGATTATACTTGTGACAAAATAGAGAGAAATCATTCATAATTTACACCTTGAATCATAATGGTGTTCCAAATCTTTATGTTTCTTCTGTGGAGCACAGAAGTGAAATATTTGAATAATCTGTGCTCTTTTTCTGTGGACTGAGACTTTCTAGCTTCAAAAACATGCAATGAATAAAGTCGTCCATTTAAATAGGGATAATGGGTTTTAAGTTGAAAATGGGTTCTTCTGAGTTGGAAACTGGCGCCTGATTTATTTACTTTTTTTTAATTAAAAAGTCTTGTAAACTACTTGGCTGCTGCAACTTCTATTCAGATTTGGTTTTGATAAAAGTGCCTGCTAAATTCATAAATGTAAATGTATATTTTGGTCAAACTTTTTAATCGTTTTATGGTGTTTTTTGATCACCTTAAAAGGGGAAGCTTCTTTTTTTTGGGTGTCCCCAGAATATATCTGTGAAGTATGCTATAAATTGCTCTTGTGTTTTTTTTTTTTTTTTTTTTTTTTAGGTAGAAGCAAAAAAAAATTATTAATAGCTTGATTTATTGTTTTCTTAGTGCACAGGCACAAAGTTCTCTTTCCCATCAAGGCTATGTAAATAACACTCTGTGAATTACTAGATGCGTCCCAAATGGCACCTTATGCACTTATGCACTATGTGCTTATGCACTTACACACTCAACAGCGTAGTATATGCATGTAGTGTCATCCCAAATGGAACACTTAACATTTTTTACTATTCGAAAATTCAAACTGTTTCCCTGATGAAGTTTGATGGTTGTCAAATTAGCGAAATAAATGACAAAATAAACTACCAGATACCACCTGCCGTAAGTGTAACCACATCCACCATCAGGAGACGTTACAATCACTCTTGTAGGAGAATTTAGCTTTCACAACATCAGTGCCTGAAAACTCTGCCCCTGTTAAGTGCTTGAAGTGTCCATCATTCCACACTTCTTTTTAACGGTTGAATAGTGCATCTGGGTATTTAAAGTGCACTTATTCTTTTTAGGGTTTTCAGTGTGAATGCATTACTTGAACTATTTATACTACAATATGGGGTAGAATAGTGCACAAGTATGCGATTTGGGACACGCCTATGGTGACAACATGCTACAGACAGTCTTGTGAACGTGTTGCTTGAGAGTTGTTTAAATTATGTATTTTATGACATGTACATTCCTGGAAGAAAACTCAAGACTACAATTGAGGAATGTGAGGGAGTTGAGAAACATTGCTTACTGAAACAGAATAACTGCATCAAGGCGTGGGCCGGTATAAGTTTCTGACGGTATGATAACCTTAGATAAAAATACCACGGTTTCACGGTATCACAATATTGTGATTACTGAAAAAATATTTTAAAATGTGCTTTTTAAATGTCTGGGGGAAAAAACATGTATAATATTTTGGAGCAGTAAAGATGTCAGACTAAATAATTCAAATGAATCATTGACTTCTGCTGTCTTCATTGGTTTCAAAAACAGATTTATTTCCAACACATAAAAAAACCTTACATATATGAGATAACAGAAATGTTAGTGGTTTTGAAACCTTTTCCAAACAGCTGTATACCTTGAAACCGGTTATCGTCCCATGCCTAAAGTGGACTTTTTCATGCTAATAGCAACTTTATGGATTAAAAATAAAAGTTTATAGGGGATAAATAACAATTAGATTTATATATGGTATTCCTTCATTTTTATAATCAGTATTTCTGTCTTTCAGGGCCCACAGTGTTGCTCAGACCTGGCTGTTTCTTTCCACTATGTGGATGCGTCGCACATGTACCTGCTGGAATACTACACTTACCACTTGCGTGCCTTTGGCTACAAATATCGCTATCAGCCCCCTGAACCCAATGTTAAAGCCCCAGAGAAAGTAGAAACTCGAGTCTTGGAGCAAAAGGACAAGGTTGAAGCACAGGAAGAGGAAAACCAATCCCCTGAACTTAACGACAAGTTATAGCAGCTTATTTTGACAAAATGGAAACTTTCCAACTCTTCCACACACACACAAACTATTTTTGGGGATGTCTTACCCCCCTTTTTTGTTTTTGGATATCGTCTCCTGTATATGTGCGACAGAAAAGTGTGCACGACTTATTTGTTTGATTGAATGCAATTGGTACAGTTTGGGAGGGTTTTTCCTCTTGATAATGCATTTGTATGTGAATGTTTAAATATATATGACAGTGCTGAATTGTATGATATGAAGGTTGACGTGTAGTCTATGAGCCTGCCTTAATAGTACAATAACAACAAACAATAATGCCTCTGCATTCGTTACACTTGGCGTTCAGTTATAACTGTTTATATATAAAATGTGTAATCATAAGCACATATGCTACTTACTGTATGTAACAACAATGCCATTTGAAGAAGGTGGCTTTGGTTTTCCTTTCATGTGATCATTCCCTAATTAGTGCCTCTTTAATTACACACTTCAGTATGTATTTATATTTAGTTTAGGTCATATTTAAACACTGAGCGGCTTGTACTATGGATGTTACATCCTGCAAACATTCAAGCTCCAGTAGGGTTTATTCCAGAGTTAAACTTGTACATTTACTTAAAGGAATAGTTCACCAAAAAAAGAAAAGTCTGCCATTATTCACTTATGAAACCCCTTTTTGGATTCCAGTGGGTACCATGCATTTTCTTCATGTTGTCACAACACAAATTGATTAGTTGAACTTAATCTATTTTGCAAATTTAAGTGGATTGAAGATAAACCATTCAAGTTGTCCCAAAAAACAGAGTTATTTCAGCTCATTTTAAATTATTATAGCCATTTTTGAGTGCAGTGTTCATCAGAATATCTTCATGTGTGTTCAGCAGAAGAAGGAAACCTCATAAATGTTTAAAGCCACATGAGGAAGAAGAAATGATGAGGAATTAAAAAAAAACAAAATTGGGTGAACTATCCCTTTAAGCTGGTGTCAGTAAAAAAAACAAACAGAATGTAGTCCCTCAGCTGATTTTAGAATGAATATCAGAAAGTTTATTGATTTATTACTACTTTTAAGATCCTGTTGGCTAGCCCAATAGTTCATGTGGCACCTGTGAACGATAAAACAGAGCTTGATAAGCCGGCTTAAGTAAACACTGTTTTTCTTTCACCAAACTAATGGGAATCGTGGTCTTGCAGATGAGTGGTGTAGTGTATCACGCTGTGAAGCATGCGGCCTGTGAATTATTGGATTTTTTTTTCAGACCACACAATGCTTTATTTAATTACCTGCAGTGTGACTGAAGGTTTTTGTTGTTTTGGATTGATTGAGAGGATTTGCTTCATTTCAAACCCCAGTGTGGCGACAACTCCAGCAGTCTGAGGGCGAGATTAAAAACGTTGGTTTTACAGCTGATGTAGACGCTTGTCTAAAGTGGGGAAAATGATTCAGTCTCGATTTCTCAGTTAGTAAGGCATTAAGGCACAGTTCACCCAAATATGATGATATAGTCATGTACATGTTGTCAATCAAACTTTCTCTTCCTTTATATTTTATTTCTGTTTCTAATAAGGTTTTCTTTAAAGACATCAAACTGACTAAATGATGACAGTTTAGATACTGGGTTAAAGTTTCTCTTTAAAAGTGCTGGTGTTGGTAATGTTTCAGAAAGGACCTTTTTAAGATTCACCTTTCAGATCGGCTTTCTATTTCAGTTTGGCAAGATCTGAGATAAAGTGGAGAGATAAAGGGATTGTTCACATCTTTACCCTTTACTTTTTCAAAGCATTCTGGGTGTCTTCTGTTAAACACAAAAGAAGATATTTTGAAGAATTCTAAACATTTTTTTTCTACTATGGATGTTTCTGTGTTTAACCAAATAATGAAACTCAATGATTTGGGACCACTTGAGGATGAGTAAATATTGAGCAAATGTTCATTTTGTGGAGAATAATTGCATAAAACAAGGTGACACGGTGGCTCAGTAGTTAGCACTGTCACCGCAAAGCAAGAAGTTTGCTGGTTCAAGTCCCGGCTAGGTTAGTTGGCATGTCTGTGTGGAATTTGCATGTTTTCCCCGTGTTCGCGTGGGTTTCCTCCGGGTACTCCGGTTTCCCCCACAGTCCAAAGAGATGGGCTATAGGTGAATTGAATAAACTAAATTGGCTGTAGAGTATGTGTGTGAATGAGTGTGTTTGGATGTTTCCCAGTAATGGGTTGCAGCTGGAAGGGCATCCGCTGTGTAAAACTTTTGCTGTGGTGACCCCTGATTACTAATGGGACTAAGCAAAAAGTTGAATGAATGAATATTCCTATAAACAGAGGCATCAGTGCTCAGACTCCATCTAATGAGTTTTCATTTGCACTTGAAAAGGTTTTGACTGTCCGCTTTTAGTTTTGACATTGCCACCATTATGAAGGATTTCAAATAAAGTTTATTTAATGAATAAACTTATTTGAAGCAGAGTTCTGTTCTTAATTTTTGACCACTCTGCACAGTCACTTTTGCATTTGTGGTAGAACGAAAAGGTTTTGAAATGACTTGATCAAAGAGCAAATACATTAAGGTGTTGCAAGATTTATATATATATATTCTTATAAAATTGTCTATTTTAATACCATAATGTAATTCTGTGTACATCTTAAAATGAAGGGAATGTGTAAGGGTTTTGATTAAACATGAATGGGTTTGTTTAATAAAAGCTTTAATTACACATGGATGGTAAGAATTCAGTTGGTTCGGTCTCTCTGAAAGCCTCAGAATAATGGAAATGCTTGTCATATTCTTTGTTCTTTTGTTGATTTACAGTTGAAACACCCCTGAGGGCAAGTTTGATCTAATAGATTTAGTACATTCCCATTATTTCGTTTTGCAGTTAATCTAACTATACTTCAGTAGAATGATGACAGAAAAATTCTGTAGTAAACATTCCACTATACTAAACAAAACAAGGAAATTATTTTCTAAAGCAGTAGATCTGTTGATTACATCTCTTTGGGCCAAGTGAGGAATTGCACTGACTAAGAAGGCACATTAAAACTTTGTGTTCTTGATTATATAACGAAGTAGAACTGGTCATACTGGGAACATCAAAACCACCAGGAAGATGCAAATGACCTTTCCAACCCTTTTAAAGCAAATCTGCGTTTCGCCCTTGTCTTTGTTCTAAAGGTGTACGTGTTCCTTATTCTTTTTTGTCTCTCAAAAGATTATTTTATTTACAAAAGGAGGTGGTTCATTTAGCTGTGGCGACCCCTGATGAATAAGGGACTAAGCCAAAGGATAGTGAGAGTGATCTACAAAAGACTCCTGTACAGTAAATCCACAGCAATCTTTTATTTATAAAAGAGTGTGTGAGGAAAAGTGTGTTACTGAGGAATGATAACCAGCATCTTAAAATAAAGACTTATTTTACAGTAAACTGTCGTATTATCGATGAATAAAATCAAATATTTTACAGCATTTTAAATATGAATGTTTTTAAATTGAAAAGTTACAAGCACAATATTGCACAAATTATGGCCAACATGCTTTAATCTTCATTCATCTGAATACAACAGGACTGTTATTACTTAAGAAACTATTTAAAAAGATTTATTTGACACAAGTTTGGTTAAATCTGTACCAAAGGTTAGCCAAAAGAATACTAAAATGGATGAAATGTGGAGTGTGTGTGAGTGTGCGCGCGCATGTGTGTGTGTGTGTGTGTGTGATGTTGGATTAGTTCGTAGAGAAAGCTTCATACACCACAGCAAAACCTTAATAAAAAACAAAGTAAAATATTACAACCAATCACCAAATACAACAACTTACCACAATAATTATTCAATAATCAAACTCACCTCAGTCTTCCATCCTTGAAGAAAATGTTCCCTCTCCTTTCTTTTCTCATAGCTGATAGTAAAAACACAAATAATGTAAGGCTTGGCATCTTGAAGGATTTTCATTTCCTACCGTCCCCATGGTGACCACTAGAGGTCAGTGCGTTCACTTTAGTGTTAGAGGGATTGTTTCGCTCAAAAATTCTTTCATCGTTTACTCGCTCTTGAATTGTTTAAAAACCATTTGAGTTTCTCTCTTCTGTTGAACACTAAAATAATTTGAAACTCCTGTAAGTTTGAAACCACACAAGGGTAAGTAAATGCTAACTATCCCTTTGTTCTGATCCAAACAGTAGTAAAATGTGAAAAGTTCCTTGTTTGTAGGCTATGACATGGTGACGGGAACAAAGACAATGAAAAATGAATTCAATTAATCTCCAATCACTTACACGACAAAGTGTTTCTCCGTCCTAACAGTCCGACAAAGATGTCATTCATATTCGCTTCAGAAAGACCAAACAAAGCTCTCGTCATTCTCTTGATAGCCTATGTCACTTTAATAAAGTCATATTTAAGCATGATAATGATGAGGGAACTTACGTCTAAATGGCAAATGTGCCTCACGATTTATTCCTGTGGTGAAAATGAATAAAGCAAACATTAAACGCTTTTCTGAGGAAAAAAATGTAACTATTTTTCATGTTTGCCTGAACTTTGCTTACTGTTGTAAACTTAATTGTATTAAAAGTACATTTGGTGTCATCGTGTCTGACCTGTGCTCCTCCTGCCCATCAGGCCGACGAAACTGTCGTAATCAATATCATCATATCGTTTGTCGTAGCGCTCCGGCTGGGCGTCGCTGTTGTCCTGTACATAAACACAATGCATGTGTGACTCACTAATGTCAATGACTTAATAGCACACACCACAGACTCACTGTGATGGTCATTAAGGTTACAAAAACTGCTAGATAAGTGATAAGTAACAGCTTACGGGTGTTTGGCCATAGACCATTTTAATGTGTTAACGGCATTGGCCTATGAACATTTCCTGCTTGTCTTGATATCAAACTACTTCATAACTGTAACAAGAGACAATTCAATCATTTTTTTAATGTTAAAACAGCTGCCGTAACATTATTTATCAATAAGTGAGCCTCTTTGGATCGTCAGATATGGAAATTAAAAATGTAAAAGAGGAAATACATTTTATTATTATTTTTTTTACTATTATTATGTTTGCATCCCTTAAAATAATCTATATTGTTTTAATTGCAAAAAAATATATAAAAATATATCCTAATCTCATTAAAATAGAATCTGCATGTGTGTGGTAATTTGGTTATGTGACTGAACCTCCATTTAAGCCCATATTTAACAGTCAGATATCACATTAATAGAACCATTAAGGGTTTAATAAACCATTTGGATCATTCTAGCCATGGCCATATACATTCTGTGTGTATCATTGGACTGTCTGAGTTGGCAAATTATCAAACACAGCATAAATAAGTAAACATTACATTGTTGTATTGCTTATTACATTTTGTCATCCAAACAAAGGTAGTTTTGTAACATTGTAAACAATCAAAATACAGCAGCATTTGTTATGCATTAAAGCTATATATATATATATATGTGTGTGTGTGTGTGTGTGTGTGTGTGTGTGTGTGTATATATATATATATATATATATATATATATATATATATATATATATATATATATATATATATATATATATATATACCACATTAATGGATCATATAAACTCTTTTTTATGTAGCCTATTAATTACAAAACCCGGGAACATATCTGTGTAGGTCTATAAGTATTTTAAAACGTTGTAAATATGGCCATTTATTGTAAACTAAACTTAAATTGCATTCTTTGAGCCAACACTGGGATAGAAACTAGCATTTATTTAAACTGTAAACATAGATAGATTTGACATTTTACATCCCTTTTATTAAAATTGTAAAAATAAAACATACAAAATAAAGAATTAAACACAACACATCTCATGCTAACCTTAAAGTATTAAAAACCTCTTCTTTCACAACTGCAAACAATGTAACTTAAACACCAAATTGTTCCAAACATTATAAGGTCATGTACAGTTTATTGTGATTTATTATTATTTTATTTCATTTATTTTTTAATTTGTATTCTTATTAAATTACTATTATTATTATTATTATTATTATTATTATTATTATTATTATACTATTTATTATAATACTATACTACTATTTACAGTGTTTACTGTGTTTTTTTAAATATATGTATATTGTTTTTAATGTAAACTTTATAAATACTTTGGTTATACATTTGTAACATCTGTCATGTCAATAAAGCAATTAATGAATTTAATTTAATTTGAGAGAGAGAGAGAGAGAGAGAGAGAGAGAGAGAGAGAGAGAGAGAGAACTATAGCCTATTCATAAATCCAGTCACACACGCGCGCGCGCGATTAAATGCTGGTCAAAACGAGGCTAATATTCATTCATTTTGATGACATTTTACACATTTTATTAAACTCACAGCAGTATAGGGAAAATAATACGTTTACTTTTACGGATATATAGTGACTTATAATCACTATAGTAAAAAGGCACGTGTCATAAAACATTTTTAGATATAAAAATTCCCTCAAGTTCAATCTTTTTAAAGTGTAACTCACAGTGAAGGAGTAGTCGAGGGCGCTCCGCGAGAGTCTCGGGCACGCGAGCAGCAGCAGCACGTGGACGAGCAGCGCGAGCAGCCAGCCGCAGGACATCCTCGCACACCTGCACCAAACACCACTTAGGTAACACTAACCAACAACTGCTTTCATACTAAATTTGCACAAAAGAAGTATCGACCATACCTTATCCAAATACTAGTATGAGCTGGTGTTAACAGGATGCTGTTCAGGTTCTTCTCTGTGTGTTCAGGCTCGCAGGTGTGCGCGCGTTCCTGTATTTGTAGCGTTCGCGCGCTCCGCTCACTCAGGCTGGCTCTCCAATAACCAAACAATGATGATGCTAACATATTCAAGTGACGCAAAGCCATTAACACTCGACTCCTGACGTATGTGTGCGGTCAATTACTTTATACTAAACTCACACCTCGTCTCAGTCTCTTGAGGTTCACATCATGTCTAATTTAGTCTTATGCTAATTGAGCTGTAATTTCTGTTCTTCAGTAAGATTCGAAGAGCAATATGCTAATATTTATATACAGTTAGGCAATGTCCAATGTACAAGTGCATATATAGTTGTAATTATTATAAATATTATACTGGAACTCCTTTAATGTGCATTTAGCTTGTTTTGGATTCACAAAGATACATAGCTTATGGCAGGGTGCGAATTAGGGGATTTGGGGGGGATTGACCCCCTAATTAATGCTTGACTCCCCTGAAGGACATTAAAACAAGATGTATGGTGGAATCAGCCATTTAAGTGAGAAATTGTTTTATATTTTAAATAATAATGTTAATGATTAAAATAACAGATAATATAAATATACATTTGACCACCCCTATAATAGTCAATATACTGTGAATCCATAATCGCGCTAATCAGTCTATGCTAGAAAAAAAATTATTAAACAGTCTGAAACCTGCAGATCCAGAGCTTAAATTCACAAATAAAAAAGCAAGTTCACAAACAATGTAGCAGGGGTGTCCAATCTTGTTCGAGATGGCTGTGTGGCACTGTGCTGCCTTTGAGTGCTCTGAGGTGTGGGAGAGGCCAATTGCATCACCCGCAGCTTGTAGTAAAGAGTACTGTTAGGAATGGTACAGCATGGACACAGTCTCTAAAAGTCTCCAGTAACACCTAAAAATATTCGCTAGTAACGTTTTCGCTGGGGGGTCTGAAAATTCACTAAGTTGGCAACACTGGCTGGCAGTGTATGGGGTATATGCAGAGCTAGTGTTTCTTCCCATACTGATAAACTTCCGGTGAACTGTTAATGTGACTTTTTTCCATTTATACAATTCTTTTTACAGCATCCATGTTGTAATGTAATTAAAATATAATCAGTTAAATAGAATTTGGCATTCACTTAGTTGCTCAAGCATAAAAACGAGACGAAAAGCTGTTTACTTGCATGTGCCCATCAGGATTGACAGGCTAGCGCAGAAGCTCTATTAAATATGGGGTAAAATAAATGTTAATATTTTAATGACATGGTGGGGAGAAATGTAATTAAATGCAGTGCTTCTTGTACAATCTGAAACCCACTTTATATCGGATATCACTCAGCCAGTGGAGATCGCTGATTTTTGAAGAAAACAGTCCTTAAACTGGCCGATTTTGTTATGGCAAACTGTTCACCGGAAGCGCTTAACCCAGGTAACTGACAAATTAAAAATCCTTCCGCATATACTCTATTGATTGAAGCACTCACACCTCGTGCATGTGCAGTATGGAAGGGACATTCCATTATTCTTGGGGGTCCCAGTTTTAAAGAAAGTATTAACTTTAAAATATTAACAGTTATAGACAAAGTTTACAACATACAATAGGAAATGTATAAAAGAGTTACATGATTAATTTAGGCTTCTTGGCGTTGGTCGGGACCCCTTAATTCCCCAGGGCCCCAAGCGGCTGCTTGCCTCGCTATTGGATTAGTTCGCCCCTGATCAGAGGATACTGTAGATCCGACACTAAATATCCTTCAAAACACTAAACACTTAAATACACTTTATTAATAAATTAGATGTAATTTAAACTAATAAACACATGACCGAAGCTTGTATTACACAAATTACAGTAACATTACCGAAAAAGTTGACCAAAAAAAAGTCAATGTATAATTTGCACTCTGGCCTACGGGTAATAGCGGTTCAGTGTTTATTATCCAGTGGGATTATGAGTCATCTATACTGGTCATTCGGTTTACTTCATCTCATTACTGAAATGTCCTTCATCTGGACAAAGCTGTCGGTAAGCTATAGAAACGGTGACATTTTGATTAACATCTGTAGGAGCCTGATTGATGAAAACTTGCTTTTAACAAAAGAAAAATGGCTTACATTTAATGTGTGCAGTCTCTATAGGTGAAATATTCCTTCAAAAAGTTTTGCACAGGTCAGAAAACCCTTTTGCAGATATGTGACCTATTAAGTTTGTTTCTGTGTGAGGACGCCTTTATTTCTCTCTCTCTCTCTGTCAGGCTTTAGATTAAATCATTAATGACATTTGCTACAAGATGCCTCGATTACAAGCGCTTTAGTAGTGAACTCGGTGTTGTGAATGAAAAAAAGGAATTAAAAAAATAAATCTGAGAAAATTAATTAACAGTAACCATGACAACACAGTGACCAGAGCTGGAGTTTTTTCTTCAGTGCAGGAGTGACAGCTAGTTTGTGACAGCATAGCAGAAGAGAATGTGCCTGCAGTCGTTTATTTTATCTAACACAGTAATCCCATCTTAACATAAACACAGAAGAAAATAATTTACAGTCCTGTACTAAATAAATCATGGACAATGTACTGTGGTAAAAAAATGATGAGAAGTGAATAAACCAGACAGTAGATTGCTGAGGAGAGAAACGGATTAGGATTAAATGCTGCAGGATGTTTGTTGTGGTTGTTTGTTTACTTTAATGTTATCAAAAGGACTATACATGACATTCTTTTTCATACTCTACATCCACAACATATTCAACAATGTGCATCGTTGTGTTTTAGCTTTTTAGAATTCAGTTTTTAAAAGTGCAGTAAATGTAATCCTCAAATATTCTACTGTAGCTCCACAAAAACATTGTATTTTGTAGATGCAACTTATTTGCGTGGGTTTGCTCTGGGTGCTCCGGTTTCTTCCACAGTTCAAAGACATGGACTATTGCTGAATTAAATAAAGTAAATTGTCAGTAAAGTATAAGTGTGTGGGGCGACGTGGTGGCACAACACAATCTCACGGCAATTCGTAACTTTTTGATTTAGTGGCTGATTCGTATGAATTTGTACAATCTAATTCGTACAATTCAGTACGATTTGCTTATCACCTAATGACGGTTGGGGTTAGGGGTGGGGTTAGGTGCCACGCCTCCTTTTTAAAATCGTGCATTTTCGTACGACTGAACTCGTATGAATTCATAAGAATTAGCCATTAAACTGACAAAACGTAAAATACTTAAACTTCCTTGTGAGATCAGGTTGGGTGGCACAGTGGGTAGAGCTGTCGCCTCACAGCAAGAAGGTCGCTGGTTCGACCCTCAGTTGGGCCAGTTGGCATTTCTGTGTTAAGTTTGCATGTTCTCCCCATGTATGCATGGGTTTCCTCCGGGTGCTCCGGTTTCCCCCACAAGTCCAAAGACATTCGCAAAAGGTGGATTGGGTTAGCTAAACTGTCTGAAGTGTATGTGTGTGAATGAGAGTGTATGAGTGTTTACCAGTGATGGGTTGCAGCTGGAAGAGTATCCGCTGCGGAAAACATATGTTGGATAAGTTGGCAGTTCATTCCGCTATGGCGACTCCAGATTAATAAAGGGACTAAGCCGTAAAGAAAATAAATGAATGTATGAGTGTGTGGATGGGTGTGTATGGGTGTTTCCAAGTACTGGGTTGCAGCTGGAAGGGCATTTGCTGCATTAAACATATGCCGAAATAGTTGTTGGTTTATTCCACTGTGGTGATCTATGAAATAAGGGCTTAACCAAAGCAAAATTAATGAAATGCATCTTATATTTGTTTTTGTTAATGACAAACCATTTGTCAGTTAAATTAAATAAACTGACAGTCAATATAGATGATTCATTTAATGTAAATACAATCTTTTCGACATTACATGAATATAACAAATGTTTTAATGTTTCAAAAATAAAGCCTGTTATGGCAGAACAGGCAATGATGGACATCTCCTACACTACTTATTTTGCTAATCAAGTATAAAAATGGAAACATAAACGATAAGGCACATGAGAAAATGTAGTCTTTTTTTAAAATAACCGTTACAGCTGTTGTGCAAAACTGGACATCGTGACAAATACTAAACCAGACACAGGTGAACATAGTCAGTGGGTAGCCATAAAAACGAAATCACACAATAAGTTTCCTCAGTACGAAAAGTGTGACAACTAGCCTTTAATGGCAGGGCAGGCAAGTAAAAGGTGATATATTTCCAGTTGTTTATGTCAATAAACAAATACAAAGATGTAATCCAACAAAAACAAACTTAGGCAAACTTAATGGAAAATGTATAAAGCGTAGACCGACATCCACACAGAAGACCCACTCAGGTTTATTCTGAATATGTACTCCTATATACATTTCTGGAGAATAAAATACATCCCAGGAGCTATGTTTTTTGTGCAGTTTTTGTTTTCACAAATCAACCAGAGGCCACTGAGTTTTTTCAGATCTCAAATTTCTCTCATGAGTGCCATTCGCACATGCTGTTAACCTCTGTCAACTGACTGACCAACCGACTGATCCCCCCACCCCCCTCCTTTCCTAAACCCAACCCATAGTGTTTTCAAAGCACAGATTGACCTGCTTCCCTAAACCCAAACGCAGTGTTTTAAAAAGCAATCCAGAAAAAGAAAAGCCCTCGCCTGATTTTTACCACGTTTTCAGATTTTGTTTTTGTCTTGCCCACTTTCTGGAACCGTCCTTTGCCAGACTCAAACCCCGTTGTCATGGTCAAGTTTGCTCTGAATCTTAAGTCTGCAAACATACATGTCGAGTCACCAAACAAACTGGTAACATCAGAAAAGCCGTCCATACGGAGGTAAGCAGTCAGCTGGTAAGCAAGAAAATGAATGGCGTCATACCGCCCCATTGCATTCGTTTTAAAGATGAAATGCAGTCATACGTAGTTCTGGCAACATAATTCACAATCTCCACAAACGTTATAGGGCTACATTTTCCAATTGTGACTGGATACAGCCTTTATGATGCAAGCTGAGACTGCATCACTCAGCGATGCAATGTCAGACACAATGCTCTCAAATGGAGCTAGTGACGTCACTGTGACGGGTAGGGTTAGGGGTGGGGTTTGGTGAGCCCATTAAAAAGCATTGGATGCAGTCCAGATTGGACTGCACCAGG